AAAATTGGCCCAGATGATGAAAAACACAAAATACTGAGACAGAGGGAATAGGGCTCACCTCCCAGCTGGTGGTCTGAATCCTGCAATGGAGACCACAAGCAGTAACTGCTCAGTGACTCACAAAGTAAGTTACAGGTGCAAATGGCTTATGAGCACATCAGAATAAAGCCATCATCATAAAGGAAGGGTTGCTTATTTAGCCATTTTCCCTGCTAGTAGCCTCTTCTAGTGACTATTCTGCTATGCTATTTAAGCAGGTGTGAGGGAAACCAGTTCTGCCAGTGAAAACAAGTTTACAGATTATGCTCCAGAAGCATAAATACACTTTCATTCATTTACTTTGTAGGGTGCAAAAAAGAAGGGCATTAATGAAGAGGGATGGGCCTGCTCTGACAGCCTTGGTATCTCACGCATGTGGGGCTAAGGTCAGCTTCAGTCTTCCTTAATCAATCAAAAATACCCTGTGCTTTACTCTAAAGTATTTGTCTAAGACAATTTTTGCTAATTTTGATATCCATCCTTTTATGTCAAGTAAAAAAACTATTTTGGCTAGTAAGCCTCACTCACTATGATTACATAACTGAAGTTACCAAAAGCTCTTCCTGTGATGGTGTTAATTTAATGAACAATGGAACAAAATCACCATAATTCTCTTTCCCTCTAATCCTTCCCTCCTCCAAATGCGATTCACATAAAGACAGTAAAAGCATATAGGTTATGCATCACAGTGAAAGGGATTATGAAAAAAAAAATACATATTATTGCACACAAAAAACCCAACAGCCCTCTATATTACTTCTCTCCTAGACAAAAAACAAGCATCACTCAGCCAAGCAACCTCATTGGAAGGATCCTTGAAAAGGATCCTTGAAAAGTATGGAGAGTGGAGGCATATGAAGACACCAACACAAGCGACAAAAAGCTTGGGCTTCCTTTTCCTTTTACCATTCAAATGGAAAAGTTATCATTAAACCAGGTGTTTTAAACTAGGCTATTACAGCCCAAAGTTTATAAATAAATTAATAGATAACCCCTCTAAAAGGACAATAGTTAGCAGATGGATTTAACTGTTTCAACAACAATGTAAAACCTGTTTCAAAATGTGATTTATACTCTGCTTGCATAAGCCATTGCTGCAAATCATTGATTTTTCACAGGCAAACACCTCCACTAATACATACTTGTGTTACCCTGGCAATTGATCTTGGAAAGCTTGACCCTCAGTGTTACTCATCTGCATGAAGCACTGAGTAAAAAGCAGCATTTTCTATTATCTAGTTTGACATGGATATACCATTTTCATTTGCTAGATTGTCAAATGTCTCTTCTTGTGCATTCTCTTTTGTGCAGAAAATTTTATTGTTTCATCAGACAGACAAGAATGTGAATTAATCAAAGAATCTGTAAAGCTGTTCATAGACAATATGAATAAATACAGGCCACTTCTCAGGTAGGTTGGAATACTTAACTAGCATGTTTTCATCACATATCATGATTAAAATTATCAGGATGGAGTTCACCCCAGATGTAAGACACTTCACTAACATCATGGGTTAACTTTCCTTCTGCTACCTTACATGCTTAAAGCTGCAGATTTGAACAGTCTAAGCAACAGCTTGGCATGCCAGGGTTGTTTAATATTTCTAATATTAACTGCAATGCACTAAGACTGACTTCCTACATCTTAGAGTAGTCATGTAGATTCTTAAAATAGGTTGCAGTCCACATTATTGAATGTGATGATGAAATGACTAAAACATCTATAAAGATTGAAGACTATGGAACAACTTCCAAAATTTGAGAACATATTGTAAACGGCATGGAAAATAGAACCAGAATATCCTGAATAGTGTCACTGCTTCTATTTCTACTTTTCACTTCAGGTGTTAGTACTGGCCAGTGTGAAGGCCAAACCTTTATATTTACTTTTGTACAATGGACCTTTTCAAATGAATTTGAGGAGAGGGGGTGTTTGTGGGTTATTCCTGTGTTTGGTTTTTCTAAGCATCAATACAGTTGTACAAGACAGAATGGACCATATTAAAACTGAATCTGCACCCCCGTAGCTCCCACTAATTTCTTGTTCTGAAGCATCTTGATTCCTAAAAAGTAACAAACATCTAAAACAGAGCTACAGACAAACAGTTAACATTAAAGGCTATATCATCATTCCCACTGGGAATTTAAATCCTAGTCTTGTTAAGCATTACTGGTGAATGGATAAACACGTCTATAGGTTTACAAAATGCATCTCTGTCACCTCTGAAGGGTAAAGGGCAACTACAGGTGCTTCCTCTTCACCCTTCAGAAACAGTAGGTCCAAGCCAGTTTCATCTGAATTAGGAATTTTAATGTCCTAGCCCTTGGACAAAAATTTAAAAGGAAAAACATATCGACACATCAAGATTTACTCAGCATTGATAAGACTGAATATCTTTGCAAAGTTTGCTCTAGCACATAATTAAAAAAAAAAAAAAAAAACAAACATAAATCACACCTACTAATAGTTAATTAGGGATAATCTAGGTGATCAACAAGAATAATTGAACACCATAGTTTCCATTTATCTATCTCAGAGGCACAGATATATTTGTCATTAAACACACAAAAATGCTAATTTCCAGTGTGGACATTTGACTTGATTAACATAAATAAAAAGGGAAACTATGTACAGTAAGTCAGCCTTTTGCTATCATTTTCCTTATGTAAAACTCTACCTGTTCCATTTACTTCAATATTCCATATTTACACCAATGGGAGACCACCGATTGCTCATAAGGTGGAAATAGCCATCTACTAAATGAATGTAATGGACTTCTGTGACCAAAAAAATGTTCTACCAAAAATCCTAATGCATTTCTAAATGAAAGACCTCAGGTTACACAGAAGATATCTCCTTTGGTGTCATTATTTGCACTAAAATCCAGTCTAGAGTATTTGCTTCAATTGATAGATGCCTGTACTTTTGGTTAGCAACCATATCTTAGAGGTAGGAAGGAACATGACTTTAGCCTTCTCAACTACACACCCACAATGTATCTTGATATTATCAGGAAGTCAGAAGTAGAACTCTATTCCCAATGTCATGATACATGACAAAGACAAAAATCAAACAAATAAACAAAACCCACCAAAAAAATTTCATACGCACTTTTTGAAGGTCCCAAATGACGTCTTGTCATGTTCCAGGAGTCCACACAACTTACCTTTCCAGATCACTTTGAAACCAACATCCTTCTGCCTGCATTTGTAAATTACCAGCCAAGCCTAATAACTGGAGGCTGGCTCCTACACTGCCCACAACACCCCCACTCATTTCAAGCTCCCTTCTCTGCATTATTTCCAGCTGCCAGCTGAGCAGCAAGAAATCTGCAATTACAGACATAGGAACCTGACTCTTCCTGATGCTTCTGGGCCCATTCTAAGCCATTAGCAACATCTTAACAAGGGCACTGTTCTGGAGTTGTGAAGCCAAACACATTAGAAACAAACCTCACAGTATCAATAACATAAGAGATTTCCTGGATATGTATTTAAATGCAACCCAAGTGAATTCAAATTAGTGTTTCTTTCACACGTTTGTGTGCTATGCTTAGCAAGTCTAAACTGATTGACTGAACAAGTAGTTTGAGAGTGGGAAAGTGGGTGTCCAATTGATAAAAGCAAACCAAAATAAAAATGCAAAAAATTGGCACCAAATCTTGTGACTCCAATATGAAATGCTTCTTCTGGACCCAAAGGAAACATTCTGAATTCCAAAGCAACCCAAAACCAGATATAGCATTACAATCTATAAATCTGTGTCAGTAGTACCTTGTTTATACAGCCCCTGTCAAAGTATGAAAGCTGATAGGCCTTTCCAGCATCTGTTTGAGAGAAATATGCTGGAAGAAATGGGAGACCAACACAGACAACACTACATATTATGAATGACTCAGGAAAGCAGGCATTTGGCCTTCAGCAGAAACGGATTGTCGACATATGCTACACAGCTTGTCATATGTGCCACCAATTCAGTCATGTCTCAGACTTTTAGGGGAAGGGTTGCAGATGTGACAGTGCTGTGGTACCAATATTGCACAGACCTTGCTGGTATCGCTAATTAAGTCAACTACAAATACCTTAATGAAAAGTAGTCTTTTTCTGTGTTTAACATTTATACAGTCAGTGAACCAAATTATTGAAGCCTACTGTTATGCTTACTACATCACTCATGATGTATTCCTTTGTTCCCTGCCTTGGAACAAGTGAAGGAGGTCACCTCAAATAAGAGAAGCAAGCAGACAGTAGAGCTGAAGTGATCTGTTCCCTCCAGGCAGGAGCAAAGGCCAAATCATGATGAGCAGAGGGAATGTCAAAAAGCTGATTATCTTCCCCCTAAAGGCAGACTTAAGGAGTTTGTTCAATTATTTCATCAGCGATCCTAGTAGTAATTGGCCAAGAACATCCAGTGTTTTGAGATTAAGCAAATCAATACCCCAAGAAGCACAGTGGTTCTGTGGTGTATTTAACTGATCACTGGCTTTAAGTGAACCTTCTCAGAAACATTACTCAGCATTTCAGCACACAGCTAGTATTTTAGTAGAAGATTAGAACACTATTATCTAGAACATTACTCATTTTATATGCATTCCATGACTTTTCAAACCAAGATTTGAGTGAAAATCTCAAAGCATAATTCAGTACACAAAACTTAGTCATTTTTTACCTATGAAAATATTATATACAATATCTGCAAAGTCATTCTTGGTTTCTCTAAACCAGGAATTCCATTAACATCAATTACCACCATTGGACTTGTGGTACTTGAAGAGGGGGAAAGAAAAAAACAAAAAAAAAACCAGCCAAACAATAGGCTTTAAAGAAATTTCCAAGACAAAATGTTTGGATTTGGCACCGTGAAAGATATATTGTAATTAAAAAAACAATGAATTATCTTTTTTCCGTGCTCTCTTATATCAGAACTCACAGGTCACCAATTCACTGAAAAGTCTACTTACGATCATTACACTGGCTCCCAGAATATGAAGTCATGGAGCAATCACAGGTGAAGCCTTCCCACTGCTGATTACAGATACCCTGATTGGCACAGGAATCTTCTTGGCAGGTAGTGCTCGGCCCTGGAGAAAGATGACAAGAAAAGAGTGAAATAAAGCTGAGAGAATCACTTGGGTCAGGCCCACGATATCTTTAATAATCACTACCATTATCATCAGGATCCTCATGCAGAAGAAAGCACTAACAATACACTGCTCCATTCCTGGACGTGCAAGAAACTCAGGTAAAAAGAGCACAAAGACAGTGTACACCTCACAACAAAACAGCAAACTGTAACACAGAGTGAGGAAGAGGGAACAGCACCATATTTCCTCTTAGGCAGGCCCAACTCATATGTTCCAAACTTGCTCAAAAAATTTTACAATAAAATAGGGAGTGATGCCAGGCCAAAAAATATGGCCAAGTTGTGCTTCCCAAGAAGTTTGATCCCCTAGTAGAAATGAAAGGTAATTATTAGGCCAATGAACAATGCCTCATCATACTCAAAGAAAACGGATAATGTAGATTCAAACTGAAGTTTTGAAGCCTCAGCTGACTATAATTTGGCTTTATAGGTTAAGAAAAGTCAGCCAGAGAAAAACCAAACACTCTGACCTATCACATAGGTTCCTCTGGAAACATGCTGATAAAGTCCTCAGAAGGGCATGACATGTACCTACAACACTTCTATTTTTGGACTGCTTTCCATGCTTTTGGTAGAAGCAGAGAAGGAAGCAGCCACCACTAACAGAACAGCCTTTCATTGTTCTGTGATTTGCAGCTAACAGTTGCTATCCCGCTCAGGTAAGCCTTGCAAAGACAAAATCCAAGCAATAGGCAAAAAAGTAATCTTCAGAGACCCTGAATTACAGCTACCGTGCCATCGACAAGGAGGTAGCTGGATTCTGAATGAAGCAAGAGCAGGCATGAAGCTGCAAGTCATAGATTACAAGAACATGAGTTTGCAAGTTACTTCCTGGGCAAGTATTTTATATTAAGCATTCTGGACAAAGGTATGTCACTCCTGTTTTGCAGGATTTTAAATAAAATGTACATATACATTGGACATACCTACTATGCTATATCCTGTATGGGTTGGAAAAGAAGAATTGAAAGAAATAAAGCAGATAATAAAGGATCAACTGGCTAGGCTGCCTGAGATCAGTTCATTAACCACTTCTGGTCTAGGAGAATGCCACAAGGACAAAGAAATAATTGTTCAACCCATCCCAGCATCTTTCTTTACAGTCTCTGCTAGCAACAGCAACTCCACAAGACTCAATCCCTTCCTTATTTCTTCATCACATCAACACTACCATCTGTATTTTATAGATGAGAGAGGACAGACCAAAGCAGAGACAGCATTTTAAAATATTTTAACATAAAATTAAACCCTTCAACCTCCATCAGACACCATCCATAGTGATTTCACTAAATCCCATTTGATACTGAGATTGCACATCTGGGCACTTCTGTATTTACAAGCCCTTGTGGAACCCACATCTAACTGGAAGTCCCATGTCACACCATGATCCTCCCAACAATTCAAAGAGCAAGCCAGAAATGAACCCTTAAAGCTTTGGTGCAGAGTTTCTGCTCTCCCCACCAGATCACCTCTCCTCACTGAAAGAACAGAATGGATGAATTTCAGTAGCTTTTCTGCTATCTGCATTTCTTTACATCTCTCCTGCAATGAGAACGAACATGTGACTCAGTAAGCAGAGTTTGACTGAATGTTAACAAAAACCTGAGCTTCTTCCAGAATTTATTACACTGTTTTAAAAAACCAAACAAACAAACAAACCCCAAAACCTCTAGGTAAAAGCATAAGTGTGGTTAATAGAAGACAACAAAGTCCCTGAAGGAAAATTCACCTATTGAAAAGAAGTGACAGCAGCAGCCACAGCAAGAAAACCCCTTGTTGCCATGCTGAAGGAAAGTTGAGCAGCATTTTTCAACACTTTTCTCCTCCCCTCCGCCTCTTCTTCCCACCCACCTGACTCTCATTTGCAGCCATATGAATCCCAGTGGTCTCAGTGGCACAGTGTGAAATTAACAGATCAGTTCTAGATTAGAACAGAGCTGACAGACTTTCCAGCGTGGGCTGGCAGGCACATGTATGTACAGGCCGCCCTCCTGCCTTTACTTTTGTAAAAATCATGGATATAAATATACATACATGCGTATCAGGTTATGGTCTGATACTTGCTTCAGACTTACTCTGGCTGAGCAAATGAAGGGCTAACATTTAACAATCTGAAATAGAATATTAGTTGCCATTTTGCCTAAAATGTCTAATTATCTGAGGATAAGGAATGAGGATCAGATACCTCTCCTGCCCATTACTATCCCACTATCTAACCTCTAACCTCAATCATGAATGCCAATGCTCCTAGAAGTATAAACAAGCAAGATAGCTATACCTATATTTTAAAAATTAAACCAGAAAGCAACTGTGACTCTATGCAAACTTGCTACAGCATCAACTATATAGACCATTACATAGCAGCAGAGTAAAATACCATTTTCAACAACGATTCTCCACTTTTCCTACATTTTCTGAGAACGCTTTAATCACTAACTGGCCTTAACAACGGGTATATCCTTTGTCTAGGTGCTACAAGAGAAAGGACTCTATTCAAGGAATAAGACTGCATGAGGCCCAGCACCTGTGGCTTGAAGTCTTCAATAGAGCCCAGAGAGCCAAAGTACTTGCATTCATGGCCTGTATTATGGTGTCTATATTGTATTTAACAGAAATCAGCTGTGAAGATGGGAACAGCACTTTCAGCAGACAGAGGGGGGAAAAAAAAAGGAGAAAGAAAAAACACAACAATGAGGAATTTTGAAAGCCTGACAATACCACAAGGAAGCTTGAAGCCTGATCTGCCATCTTTAGAGTCAGTCGTGACAGCACAGCATAGGTGCTGGGTACTTGGCCTCACTTCTTAGTACTATGGGCCACTTGAATCACAAAAGGAACGTTGTCTCACAGAGTTCATCTACTCCTGCTGCTAACAGTCATTGCCTGATGTCATAATCCTCTGTAGCAACAGAATTTTCTTCAGAGCAACTAATAAGGATGTCACAGGGAATTAGGATTTTGGATTAGGGAGCAAAGTGACAGAAGCACAGGAAGGATTATAAAACATTAAGATTGTGCTACCACGTACGTGCCCTTTAGTGCTAACGAACAAGAAAATAAGATAACAAACAACTTATATATAAAGCAGTAGAATTGTTTCTAAATTACTAGTGCCATCAGGACTCAGGTCTATTTTTAATCTCATTCCTCTGGCAACACTAAGAGCAGATAAAGTATTTAAAAGCAAAGTTTCAGAACTAGTCTTCACATAATAATCTGAGATACCTCTGATTTATCTGTTTGTAGCTGAGCTTGGTACAGTGCCTTCTTCGTGCCACACACACAGTGGAAAGAGGAGTAAGTGGGCAGCAGATAGCAAGGAAGTGCAGAAATCCCCAGTGCAGAAACGCAGCCCTGCTAGCAGAAGCATGACTTGCTGTGCCACTTCCTGTCCAGGTTAAGCCTACCAACAGAGGCATCTCCTTTGGGACATGAAGTAGAAAACCAGGATTCTTCAACAATATCCTTTTTTTTTTTATGTCTACATCTCTAATTTTTACTGGAACAGTTCAGTATCCAAGGACTTGCAGGATCTGAGATTTGCTCAGTCATCCCCCCTGGGAAGGAGACCAGTACTACACTTTTCTTCAGCTACCTATCCAGATGTATTGTTTGTTTATTAATTTTTCTACTAAGTATTTGAAGAAAATCACCTTTGAAGAGTATAATAGCCTAATCTTGTATCTGTATTCTGCTTAGACAAATTGCTTTTTCTACCATCTTTCCTGCAATATCAGTTGTATGGTATGTTTCTCTTTTCACTGAAATTAAAAAAAAAAAAAAACCCAACTCTACTGCTGCATGTTGCTAAAACTTTCATGTTTCACTGGCAAGAAAAGTCATTCCTTCTGTATCTTTTGAAAGCTCTTTTCAGGAAAAGGAACTCGAGAAATAAAAGACAGCATTGTGTTTATTGTTCTTCCAAGTTACACATGGAATCAGTTTATACAGCAGTTGCAGGATTATAACACAACTGCCTCATGCTTTGATCACAACTAGCAATAAATATTAAGATAAGGAAACCACTATTGGTCTTGCACATAACACCTTCCTCCACACATGAAAAATTCACTCTTTTTGAAAGGAATCAACATTTGTGTTAATGCTATGGTCTCAATAAGATGAAGATCAGCAACAGGGGAAGTTCAATAACAATATGGTTCTATTTTCATTCTTCATCTCCCTAAATGCTTTCATCTCTTCCCCTTCTATCTTCAGAAATGTTACGAAGCAGTAGGAAAGTAATATACACGACATCTTTACAGCCTTTGCAGACTAAGGTGCTTTTTTAGTCCTATAGTTCCTAAATTACAAATGTCATGCAGCACTGAAATATCTCTACCACTACTGTAAAGTCAGATATTACAATCAATTTACACCTTTGATAAATCTACACACTACTTCTGTCAGCATTCCTCTTTCATAACCAGAGAGCGTCAGCCTTTTTTAATTCAATCTGCAGTAGCAGTTCAGCTCAGAAAGGCATCGGGTCTTGGAAACCATATGCACTAGCTAGGAAATAAACCAGTTCCAGGATTCACTCTTTCTTGCAGGTTAAGTAGGAAACAAAGTTATACCCAATAGTTTTCCAATGTTAGAATAATTTGGAAAGCAAGATTTTTCCTGTTTAAAAAGTGAGCAAAATTAAGGTTGAATCTCATGGAACCATCACTTTCTGGGACGGACCATACCACGTATACTGGTACTGCCAAATATATATTGGTGTGGCAGCATTTACTTTGCACAAATGCAAGGAACTAAATTATAGTCAGGGTTTAGTGCATGATTCAGAAAGTTAGATCCTGTATTTTGAGTCACAGATAGCAGAAAGCAGGAATATCACAGACTAATATAGCAAACCAGAACGACAAACCAAACAGATTTCCAACGATTGCAAGGCCAGCTCTTCAAGCTCTCAGTTTCATACTTTGTTAAGAA